CATTTGTTCTGTGTATGCCCCTACAAGAATACTCAGCTCTTGCCTTCGAGTGGCATTTTTCAACTCCGCTGGAGCCAGTTTCCAGGAGGAGGAGGCATGGCTATGTGGGCAGCGGAAGGTGTGAAGGCTGTGCTGCCTGCACCTGGCTCACCTGGTGGCCTCGGCCTGGAAGGAGCCAGAGGCAGAGGCCCCGGCCCCAGGGACTGGGGGTGAGTTTGTGTGTGGGGAGAGCTACCGGGCCCTGTAGGAGGCCGTGGAGAAGGTGAAGGTGAGTGAGTCCTGGCATGGGCCAAGAAAAGTGGGGGCAGGGCAGGAGAGGTCACTCCTGAGATATGACCAGATTATTTTGGCTCCAGAGTGGCTTTATCGACCTCCCAAAGGAGAAGGTGGACGGGAAGGAGCAGGTGGAGAACCTAGAGCTTGGATTCATCCAGCTCTCTGGAGCGACAGATGGCATGAGTGAGCGGGAGGCCACGGCACGGGCACGGGCAGCTGCAGGGCCGTTGGAGGGGCCCCAGCGTCTGAGCCCTGTCCTCTTGCAGGAGAGTACTTCACCATATATGGGAACCAAGGGGCAGTGCCAAACACGCGGCACCAGGAGGAGGAGGACGTCAGCAGTCTGGCCCAGAATGAGGAGGAGATGAACGTAGGGCACGAAACATTTCTGCAGGGGTGGGGGTGGGTGTGAGCACAGGCTCTGATGTGGTAGCTGAGCACACCTCCCTTCAGGTGAAGCTGCTGGAGCTGCAGGAGCTGGTGTTGCCACTTGTGGGTGACCACGAGGGGCATGACGAATTCCTCCCCACTGCCCAGAACCCTGCTGATGAGCCCGCTCCAGGGGCCCCAGCCCCCCAGGAACTTGGGGCTGCCCATGAGCAGGGTGGTGAGTAGAGCCCTCAGGCGGGGTGGACAGGCAGGGGCAGGGGAGGCTAGCACTGTGCTCAGACCCCCGCCTCCCTCTCTCCGAAGATTTTTATGAGGTGAGCCTGGCCGACAGCGTGGAGCCTGCACCAGGAGAGGCCAGGGAGGGTTCTCCCCATGACAACCCCACTGCACAGAAGATCCTGCAGCTGCTTCCTGTAACGCAGGACGCCCAGGAGCACCCAGGCTTTGCCACCAAACCCTGCGTGCCATTCTTTTACCGGGCAGCCGAGAACAGGGAGAAAAACATCATCATCATCTGAAGGGTGGTCAAAAAATTTAAAAAAAAAAAAAAAAAAAAAACAGTTATGGGGTTAATCCCCTACACAATTCATCTACTTCATTGGAATGTTAGAGCCCCTCATGTTTATTTATGTTTCAATTTACAGTTTAAATTTATTTATAAAAAGTTAAGGGAGAGTGGGTCTTTCCCTGATGTTCACTCTGTCATCCTTTAGCATTTTTGTTTTTAATTGATAATTGTAGGTCATTAGCTCACATATGGAGTTTGCCCTTACATGGTGGGAGTTCAAACACTCAAAGACCCACTATTTGCACAAAACTATTCTTACTGGTTTGGAATAGGCTGCCATGCTTTTTAAATATTATTGCAGCATGTATATTCATTACGGAATTCAGATAAAATTGGCTTATGTTCTGCTATTATGTTTCATCGAATCCTAATCACAGTGAGCTCTTCATTAGCTCAGTATGTGGTTTGCCCTCAAGTGCGCACTGTTTCTTACTTTGTAATATGCCGAGAGTACTGACATTTAGAATTGTTTAAAGGCCAAGAACTGGAAACAGTCTTTCCCCTATTTTCTGTGTATTGGGGATGGGAGTAATAACATTTTGGGGAGCTTTTTAAATCTCACAGAAGAGGAAAGTGGCCTACTCTGGCAGGTGTGTGCAGGATAGAGTGTTTGCCATTTGTTCTGGTGCCAGGAATGAGTGCGGTACTATGGTAGTCCCCTTAGGATTTGTACGTGCTCTGGGCTCATGAAGATATTGCAGCATGAGCTGCAGCAGTTGGACTCTTTCTCAATGACCTAAAAAGGGATTCTTTCTGAGGAATGAAAGGCTCCCATTATTGACTGTGGATGTGGAAAACCTTTCCCAGCCTAGAGCATTTATATCTACAATACATTTTAAAGTCAGAGTTCATGTTACCTGTTTTAATCACATGTACACAATAGGTACACAATAGGGCACTGTTTGGCATTCTTCTTAATGTATTTAGTAAAGATCACAAGAAATCCTTTCAGAGTTTAAATATCCCTGGAACAGGCATACAGGCTCTGGTCAAGAATGAGTTTGAGTGATACCTGGCATTCCTCTATGTTCACGGAGCTTCCTTGAGGCTAGAAGATTGATTTTACCATCTAGACCTCTCTGGCTAATACCTATTCTTCAGCCACATTGGTTAATCTGACATAGGAATTTACTTCTTTTCCTTGAATGGAAAACACTTTAAAACTAATAACAACCATTATTATAAACCAATATATGTGACAGTACTTAGTTGAAACAAAAAGGAGTTTTAGTAGACAGTATTATACTACATTTGAAAATCAAGGTGAAGTTTATGCAACTTAAAATGTTTACAAACTGCAGTGCAATCTACTGTTGGTGAATGTCACAATATTGTGAGTAAAAGTGTCTATACAATCACAGAGTTATATTTCCTCACAAAGTTCTTTACAAAGAGTGAAATATGTTTTTATACCTCTCGGTTTCAGTTAGAGGCATATTTTGTGCCACATTTATGTTAATGTGCCTATACATGATGAATGAATTATTTCAGTCATACATTGCCTGAATCATAACTTCATGATGCTTGGGAAAGAATCAACAGTTAAAACTTCATGAAGTTCTAATGTCTATGTTCCAATATACATCACAGTATTAGGATGTAGGGAGAGATGTATGTGCGCTCCCTGGGGTGGGCATTTCTAGTTACTAGGCCATCTCCATTTTTAGCATTTGACATCCTCATCATACTTTTATAAATATGACATTAATAGGAGAGCAATAATATGATTTTACAGATGGAATAACAGATTTTCCTGCATTCACTGAAAAAGTGCAAATATTGGGTCCTTGTGACTTCAACTGACTCTTCCAAATTGTATGAATTTATCAATGTATTAGATAAACCCAGTTTCAGAATGATAAAGAAAAACTGTTAGACCAAATAATGTGGCTAATTAACAATGGTACGATTTCTAGCCTGAGGGTTTAAAATGGACTTAAGGTCCTGTTCTTGCCTTCTGTTTTGTGAACTTGCCACTTTTGCATTATTTGAGTTCACTTGAAAGACAGTTATTTTAAGTCCATTTTAAACCCTCGGGCTAGAAATCGCACCACTGTTAATTAGCCACCTTGTTTGTTCTAACAGTTTTTCTTTATCATTCTGAAACTGGGTTTACCCAATACATTGATAAATTATTTCAAAGGAATTTTTATAGTTCAAATCACTTCACTTTTATCCTGATAAATATAAATGACTAGGAATGACCTTCAGATAGTGTTTAGTAGCTGTAACCAATCTGACAATAATGTGTTCATGGATTAAATCACATACTGGCATATTTAAGCTGAATGTCTGTCTGGAAAATAAATGTACTATATTAACTGAAATACCACTTTGTGTAGGTATTTTGTCATATGTTTCAGAAAAAGCTAGAAAGAATGGAAATCCTATGACAATAACTTAAGTCTTCAAAGTGCATGCAGTCTTTGCAATACCTCATTCAGCCAAGTATTTGTTCTCTTCCTCATTCAGTATAAGGCAGCTTTCAATCTGCTTAGAAGGCAACATTAGAAGGTTAGAGTTCATCAGAAATACAGAATTTTAAAATGTGAGTTCAACTGAATAAAATTGAATTTCTGTAGGAAGTAAAGAATCAAAATACCTATTTAAAGATTGCAATATATGGTCATTATTTTTAAAGTATCTGTTTAAACCTGATAGGTTTTCCAGAAATGAAAAAAAAAATCAGTTCTAAAACTAAAGCTGATTTTTAGAAAATGTGAAAATGTAAATCAGCCCTATCCGTAATATTTTCTCTAAAACGTTATCTTACAGAGTCACTTTAAGATGATATAACTATTCAAAAATGTAACTGCTATGTTAATGTTTTAAAATAAGTTAAAACATCTTAAAATATGAATACTGTAGTTTAAAGCAAAGAACCTGGGGGAAGGAAAAATAGAGAAAGAAATGCCAATTCCAATGCCAAGCTTTATTTGCTGAGTTTTCTTAGAATGACTTTTACCAATTTATGAATCCCTATCAACAGAATGTATAATGGAAATACTGAAAAACCTTTGTGTAAACTGGAATTATTGACTGCTACTCTGATGCTACTGTAATGTAATAAATTAGGAAATTGTTGCAAAGTGCTGTTTTTGCCGTAAATTTTGTGTGTCTTCAAAACTATGGTGTTAAATGTATTGAGACTGTGCAAATGCTGGGCACGCTTGGCATGAGATAATCGGCTTTTGTTTTTACAAAATTGTAACTATGCAAGTGTGTTTATTAAAAGAACAGAAACTAAAAAGAAGTTATGGGAATTTAAGACAGTTGTGGGATGAAACAGTTATGGGATAAAAAATGCTGTGGAACAGCGGCCAAAAAAGTAGAAAAAGTTTTATGAAAAGTTTTTTTTTAAGTTATAAGAAGTTATGAGATTTTTTTAAAAGTCATGGGATAAAAACAAAAATAAATAAAAGCAAGCCCCTGTCAGCATAAGACTGGAGAAGTGGGGCTAGAGTCTTCGCCCCCCATCATGTACCAACCACCCCTTCCCAGTCACCCCTTTACCATTAGGGTAGCAAGACAAGACCCCGTCTAATGGAGGGAGACAAACAGACCCTTTGCCATCTTGACCAGGGCCAAGTCCTTAAATTTCTGGACGGTGATGTTTGTTATTGAAGAGCCAGAGGCTGGTGGAGTTGGTTTGTTTGGAGGAGGCCTGATGACCTCCCTACTCTCGCCAAAGCAACTTTTCCCTCAGGGGGCCTCACATCTTCTTATTCAGAGAGGCAGCTGAGGTGGGACAGTGGGGCTAAGTGTAGAGCAGGCGAGGGCACAGACTGCTGGGGTGGTCCCCCTTCCCCAGTGTACATATAGTATCTGTGTAACATTTTGTATATTCCGGGGGGTAGGGCTGCCCCCTGTATCGTACCTAGTGGAGGTTGGAGCTGGCATATGAGGAGGAGGTTCTAATCATTATTTATGGCTGGGAAACTTATTTATTGATAGCACAGGACAGAGGAAGGAGGTCGGGATGGGGTTGTGGCTCCCTGGTGATGCGACTCCTGTTTATTTTGCTTTTCATTTTGGAATAAATGGATTTAGCCATACTGCTCAGCCTGCTGGGTTCCCGTTTCCCTCACTGGGTCCTGGAGTTTGTGCCACTGAACGAGGAGCCCCAGAGTGTCTGAGCATGTCCAGCTCAGCTGTTGGGGACCTTCCAGGCCTGTTACTTATATGCTGTCTGGTGACACCTGGTGGATTTCATGGGGGCTGCCATGGCACCTATGGGGCACAGTGAGGCCCTGACAGCCAACAGGCTCAGAAGCCTGATCTAGCGGTGGCCAGGAAGGCAGATACCAGCACCCAAGGACACTGACTTCCATCCACCCCAGGCATCTTCCCTTCAGCCCCCCTGCCTCTCTCGCCTATCTGCACTGGGTGGCCTGTTCTGTCTGTCCCTCCAGAGTGACGGGTGCCCCACAGGCTCCTCCAGGCTGAGTTCATGGCCCTGCCCCCTAGTGGCCACAGCCAGCTTAACAGGATAAGAGCCAGCTAAGCTCCAGGGGCCTTCCAGGAAGTGTCCCTTGGAAAAGGTGTGGCCTTTTCACCATTCCCAACAGCACCCTAGAAATGGCTTGGCCTTTTCCCTCCCCTGAGCTCCACAGAGAACACAGCCAGCAGAGGACACATTCCCTGTCATCCAGAAATGGATCTGATTCTCAGCTGAGGGACAGCAGAACTGGTAGACACTGTCAGCCCACACAGTTGCCTGCACAGCACCCCCATGCTTGGTAGGGGGTGGGAGGGATGGTGGAGGCTGGCTATCCACAGGCCGGGCATGACAGGGAGGCTCACTGGAGGTGGCGCTCTTTGGAAGGGCAATGTCAAGGGACAGCTTTCTCTTGTTGGGCCATAAGACTCCACAAGGACATCACGGTGACTGATTCCCAGTGCTAGAGGTGAGGCGGTCGGCCACGTGTAGATGTGTATATATATATATGAGTATTTAGAGCTATTTATAGAACAGGGCAGGGCATGCCACAGAGTATTTATAGCTATTTATAGAACAGGGCAGGGCATGCCACAGAGGGGCACAAGTTTTCAGCAATGGTCACACCTGGATGTGTCAGCTCAGCACTACAACAGACTAAGTCACAGATGAAGGGGACTGGTTTTGGGCTGGGGAGCCACTATCAAGTCACAGGACACCTGCCCAGGCAGGCTTGGAAAGGGAGGCCTCCCAGAAGAGGAGGATCTGTTTAGAGGTTGAAGGGGGACCTGGGGCTCTCAGGATGGGATGGACTTGCCTGATCCATTCAGTTGGCAGTTGGAGGAAAGCAGAGAGAAAACGGGTTAAAGAAAAGCCAGAGCTGGTGAGGCAAGTGCAGAGCACTGGCGCACCACAGCAGCTGTGAGAGGGCTGGGGAGGGGAGGCCACAGGTGTGGGCGTGGCAAGGTTCCTAGAAAAGAGGGACTGGAAGGGAAAGGGGAGGAAGATGGAGGGAGGAGCCAGAGCTTCACAGGTGGTGCCTGGGGGATGTGGCGGCCCTCCCCAGCCCACACACGCTGGCCTCTCTCACGGGACCCAGGCAGTGCACCCATAGTTCAAACCAATGCTCAGCCCCCTTGGGCTTCCCTCTTCTCTGGTCTTCCAACCCACTGGCCCAGGGCCACCTCTTGCTTGGGGAGCCCCACCCAACAGCCAACTGGCCTGATAAGGAACACTGCTTGAACCAAAATAGTGAAGCTATAAGGGACGGATGGCTGGAGTGTGTGCCAGAGGCCCCTCTGGGTGGTCAGCAAGACCAGGGCCCTCTGAAGGGAGCCTGGGGAAGGCAGGGAGGGCAGGTAGCCAGATGCCACTGGCCATAGACTTATAAATCTATGAGGGGAGCCTCAACTGGTTGATGGGGGGCTGCAAGTTGCATAGGTGAAGGTGGGCCCTTCCTACTGGGAAAAGCAGAAGAGGGAGAGTCCGTGGCAGGAAATGCAGGTGGGCTCGCTAGGCGGAACTCAGCTGGCACTGTGGTCCCATTGGCTGAATAGCACAGGCAACCTCTAGGAACAACAGGCCAAGGTGCGTGAGCCTGCTGGCCAGTGGTAGTGCTTCAGTGGGGGCCAGGGACCCTGCCTTTGGTCACACAATAGCAGCTATGATGACACTTGGGAGGGAGGGAAGGGGGCTGTGTGTCCCTGCCTGGCCTGTGGAGTGTGTTGTGGGATGACCGTGTGTGTGGGACTCTCACCTAGATTGCCACTGGATTGCCGACAGATAGAGGAAGTGGGACCCTGACTATCACCCCTGCTCTGCAGTGGATTCGGCTCTCGGCACTCCCAGGCTGGGAGCTGGATGCCCTGCCCTGGCAGCATGACTCAGACTGCACGACCGGTATGGCGTGTCCAGGATGATGTTCCCAGACCTCTGGCCACCTCAGAGTCCATCCCCACACACAACCCCCTGCAAGCTCCCAGCCCCTACATCATGAACCACAAGCTCTCTGCCCTCTCTGATGGCTCCAGAGAGCACCCACACCTGCCAGCTTGGGAATAGAACCTGTTTCAAGGGCCCCCAGGCTCAGTCATGGAGGCTGGTACCTGCATCTGGCCGGGACGCTCTGCACCTGCAACCAGGAGTCATCCACCAGCCCCTGTGGGTGTGCTAACAGTGGTCTTGTTGATGTCATCGATGATGCTGGGTGCCTCCATCAGCATGTGGTACATGTGCAGCATCTTGTCGCCCGGCTGTGCCTGCTCTGCTGACTCCTCCATCAGCGTGTTCTCATCCTCATGCTAGTACAGGTTGGCCAGCAGCTCTGAGAAGATGAACTCGTTGGTCTGAGAGTGGGCAAAGAGGGAAGGAAGTTAGAACCTGATGCCTGTGCCACCCTGGCCGCCCCGCCAGGCCCTGCTAGGACTGTGTGCTGGACTTGGAGC